AAGGATAATTTTAATAATCTAAAGGTGCTTTCTTATGTTTTTTTTTCAAATATTAGAGTATTATTTATTATGAATCAATTGATAATATAATTTTGATATAAGTTGTTTACAACTCAATTCATAATAAATTCAATTAATCAACAATTAGATATCAGATATAACTATAAAGATTTTTATGATTGCACATTCTTGGGGTAAAAATTTTTGGATTCAATAACATAAAGGTATGCACTGTCAGATCATTCAAAGACTTAATAAGTGAAAAACTGAATTTTTAATTTGTATCAAAAATATCTGAAATTTTCTATTTTAAATATATCTATGTATTCGAACATCATTTTTAATATGTTGTAACTAATATTATTTAATATTTTGTCCATATGTTTGCTTCAATCAAAGGACTATATGAAAATGTATAGCATATAATATTGAATGGCACTTTATCCAATGAAATAATTTTGATTCAGCTAAAATTGATCCTATGAAATTTCATCTTAATACTGTTTTAAAAAAGATTTAGATAGGTATTACCATTGAAATCATGAGAAATATAAAATTTTACGTTTCAAAATTAGAAGGAATCTATTTGCATATTCAGCTTTACTTACAACTTGATTTTTGCATATCGAAGACAAACTGGAGATGCGGATTCGAAAAGAAATATAATTTTTTAGCTGCTTTTTTGTTTGTAAATGTTTAGATAGAAACGATTTTAAAATTTAGCAAATAGCTATATGGTTGTGAACATTCATTTATTCATTCAAAACAAGAATAAATCCGGAAAATATAAGATACCTTATATGTAAATAAGAAGAAATAAAACTCTTTTTAAATAGGTACTTTGTCATATGACGTTTGAAATCTATGCTGATTAAACAAAAAACAAAATAATTGAAAGGAATTGAAGCTACCTATATTCGCAATAATTTGTTCCTTTTATTGGCATTGTGCGTAAATTCTAGATGATTTAAAATTAATATCAATCTAATTGAACACAAGAAAAAAAGAGTTAGAAGAGAAAAGGGCATTTTAGTTAGGTATTTTAAAATATTTATGAAAAATCAATGGGGCTTTTTAACTTTTACTACCTAGAAATTTCGGAATACATCAAAAATGAGTAAGATTTAAAGAAGATAAAATAACTTAATGCCAAAAAATAATTCCTTACAACACATGAAAAATGTTCTGTTTTATTTTGGAACAAAATTATAAATAAATTCATATTTCTTTAGATTCATTTTTAAATTTGCTTTTTTTTTCTTCTTTCTTGAAATAATTATTGCAATATTTAAGGCACATTTAATTAAATCTTATAAATCTTTAAGAAAGTTAAAGTAATTCACATTAGAATGAATTCATTACAATTGCAACTTACCATTTGTAGAATGAAAAAAAGGTCCATTATGTAATTATAATAAGATCTTGTATATAGCAGGGAGACAACAATATCATTCATTAAATTGTTTTCAGATCTTTCAAAGTTGCTCTTTTTCTTGAGAAAGAAGATGGAAATGTACTCATTCCGCAATATTTTTCTACTTTAGTATGTTTTCTAAAAATACGTTACTTATTTTTAATTCAAATAGTTTCCACCTGCATCAATGCTTTTATTCGAACGAAAATAGTTTGTCCTTTGATTAAGTTATGCTTTAAATTTTTGTTAACAAATTATGCGTCGGGTTATGAATAATTAGTGTTAAGTATCTTAGTTACAGGGAGATTGCTAGTTATATTCGAAATGATTGGTTAATGATTTTTCTTATATCTATTGGCTCATATTTTAATAAAGATGTTTACTTGAGGACCTAAAATAATATAATCTTTATCTTTTTGTTAATGATTATAACACAATAGTTTTTAAATGATCTTCAATGACATTTGTAACTGTTGATAAACATAGATCTAGCGCACAATCATAAGTTATATTGTCGCAAAATCTGCTTGTGACAAGAGAACAGATGATTTTTATGTATTATCATCACGATCTACCATGGCACCACGTTAATAAATTTGAGTAAATGAAACTGATCGAAGGATTTAGATGGCTGATGTAGTAATAAAAGAGTAAAGATACATACGAATTAAATACATGTTTTGGTTTAAGATGTTAGTGCTGTAAATTAAGAGAAAAAAAAACATTCACTAATTAATTATTTGCTTAAAAGTATTCTGTAAATTAATAAATATTATTTGTGGTATCTCATTACCAGCTACCAGACTTCAACAAATTTCAATCAAGATGAATTAGATAATTACACATATTCCATAATAAAAATTGGTCAAATATATGGAATATTAAATGATCAATGAAAAGTCCAAAATAGATGCTTGTAAAGCTCATCCTCATGGATTGAAGATTGTAATTAGTTGAATAACTTTAGTATAATCTGCTTTAGCATTTTCTCATTGTAAAGAAGTACTTTTCATTACTCATGCACTTCATTGCATTGTTGAGCGTGCTTTTAGATTTATAAGAGATTAGATAGAATCGCTAGAGTATTTATTACAGTTATTAGATTTCAGTTTAGGCTTTTGTTGATAGTGTATTGAAACTAGTAGACTATATTGAGAAGAAACACATTGGATCTAGGTCTTAATCAAATTTTGTAATAAAAGACTTCTTATTCCAATTTGTTAAAATTTGTTCATTCGAAATGCAACAAAGACGGTTTATCGTCGAAATTTAGCTTGTTATATTGTACTTATACAACACTTGTTAATAATTGATGTCAACTATTTAATATTTAGTATCTTATACAGTTCGAAAATGACACGAAGAATTATTAAGTCCATTGGTTAACTTGGCCTTTGGTTAGTCGATTAGAAAAAGGTGATTTTTAAAAATGTCAATCGTAAATATCGTGATTTAATTAGTATTTTTTCTTTTTGTTTTCTGTTCTGAATTATAATCGCTTTCATTAGTCTTTGATCATAAATAGGAATGTTTTCAAATAAAAACATTAAATAGAAAAAGTAGATAGTCAGTTAGTAAATAGAACTGCGTTACTAATTTCTATAGAATAAGGTTGATTCAACGTCTATTATTGTTATATGATTGAAATTGACTCAAAACTAGTTGGTTGATGAAATAAAAATTTATGTTAAATTTGAAAAGCCAAAATTCTTCAATTTCAATTAAGTTAATTTCTTTGGATTTTTTTTTATACTTTCAGTCCTCTACCTAGGAATGAATTGAAACATGAAAAGTACTCCAGCATGAAATAATATGCTTCTAATCGTTATGTTCATGCTGAAGTGTTTCGGAAACTTAATTATATTTTTTAAAAATTGATTCATTAATATTTTTAATGTTTTTGTGCTTGTGATTATTGTTTAAAAAAGAAAAGTATTCGAATGCTATTAATCAAGTATTAATGCTATAAAAAGCAGTTCATCAAATGAATTAATTATTTTAAAAGTTTTTGGTAGCTTTAGAAATAAAAAGACAATCAATTTGTTTTTCGTAAAAGATCTCTTATAAATGGTTTTTTATTGAAATTTTCTTTTCTTCTTTTGGTGATTAAGTTGGTTTTTAAAGTAACATCGAATATTTTATAAGATATTTTTTAATTACCTACTTTACTTATTTCTTATAAATGATTTGCTTTTTCTTATATTATGTTTATTATTATTGGCTTTCATCATAACTCAAATAAATAGATTGTATATTACTATTTATGTAAGATTCATAAAAAGTAAAGAAGTGTTCAAATTAAATATTTTGAAATAGTTCATTGTCTGAAACAAAGAGAAAAATCAACATTCTATCTTTGATTCTTTTTACCAAGGCACAAGTTAACATGAAAAATTCAGCATATTAGCTTTCAAAAAAGTGGTTTTTTCTTTCAAATAACTTAAACGCGAAGGAAGAGATTTTTGAATTGTATCCCAGTCTGAATTTAATAGAACTTACGTAGTTGACGCATGCTTCGAAAAAAATTTTCAAAGAAAATTTATAAATTATAAGAAAAAAACTAGATCGGTAACTTCAATTTATATTATAGGGGAATATAGTCGCGTAAAATTATTTTTATTTTCTAATGATTTTATAAGATATCTTCTATTATTCAGAAGAGTATTTAAAATAGGTTTCAAAACCATCAACGAACTGTCAGTTATAAAATTTACTAGAAACACTCAAAAATAGAAGCAAAAGCTTCAATTTAATAATAAGATTCTCCACAAATAAAATGTTTTAAGAATATCGATATCGATATTCTATATAGGTATATATGCAAAATTGGAAATAAAAATACTCAGTGAGACGAACAACGAAAACAACATTTTCAGTTATAAATGGCACTTTAGAAAAGTACTGAAATCGACCAATTTGAAAAATTTGTGAAGAGTATTTGATACTGGCAGAATAATAAATAAATAAGAGCATTTTTCACTATTCTATTTCTTTGTAAATTTTATATCATAATCGAAATACAAATCAATCTATTCGAAAATGATTTCTCACATAAGAACAGTATTAGAGCAGTCAGTGAAAACAAGTAATTTTCAACATAGAATTCAGAAAGAACTCTAATTCTATCCTTTTCTTTAAAAAGTATTCCTTGAAAGTTCAGAATGAATATAAATTCATTTGAATATTTAAGTTTAAAAATAGAATATGGAAAAATGCTGATAAATAAACAATAAACAAAAATAAAGAAACTAACCTTGGTTTCATTATAAAGCTAACGAATATGTAAGTTTTATCGTTCGCAAATTTGTCACAAAGGGCCCGCTACTCTCAAAATCATGTTTTTTTTTCAATACTTGTATTTGCAACCATAGTTGCTGTTGAAAGATGTGGAAGGTTCTTATGTGCTTGAAGAGGTTTGAACTATTATTTATGTATTTCTCATTTTGATTTCTATGTAATTTATGAGAGTGCCCCGGCCCTTTGATACGGATGTTCTCGATTTACAAATCGTCTTTGCGTTTTTAAAGCACCTACTTTAAAAGAAAAAGAAAAATAAGAGTTTTACAAATTAACTTTCATATTGGACTAAAATTGCAAACTGATAAAACTTTATAACTAGACTATAAAAATAATATAAAAAAAAGTATCTTTCTTTTATCTTAAAGCTAAGATATATAAAATATTCCATTTCTTAAATTTAAAACTTAAAACATTTTATAATTTATCATTACAAAAATTAATCATTGAAAGTACATTCACAAAATGTAGAGGTGAATTATATTATTTTGTTTCTTGTAAATTGCTTAACCATTGGTCCCTGGTAAGAAGATTTTTGTAACTAAGTATGCAAGTAATTTTGTATCTTGAGCAGAATGGAACTTTTTTTAACAAAAACTTTGTTCTCTTTTATTTAGAATTGGATTTTGTATACATAAATATGTATATAGTGTTTTATAGTATAAACTCATCTCTACATTTTCATTTCATACGTAGCTTATGATTCAAGTACTTTTCATTTCTAAGCCTATATAACTACCTAACTTTAATTTATTTTCATTATATCATATTATGGCATAAGTTTGCTGATTTATCTTGAAAATTCAAAATACATACACGCAAAACATGTAAAATTCATAAAATTTACGTCATTTTTTCGCAAATAGATAAAAATGTTAAATTATTTAAAAGTTCAAAACCTTTACAGGTAAACATTTGTTTTGTTTGGAAAGTAAGGTTTTTGGATGCTTGATTAGATTCTATATTATGCTGGTAAAAATGTTGAAAACACTATTTTTCCTTCATAAAAAAACAGTACGAAACAATATAAATGACTAGCTCATCGCGAAGACAAAATAAAAAATATCGTATTGGACGGAAAAGAGTTCGGTTTTAACATTGAATTTCTTGCGCATAAAATTTTCTAAGTAAATGGCTTAACGGTCATAAATATATGAGCATTGCACAAAGGTAACATAAAAATAATTAGAACCTTGATATGATACTGTGAACGATATTTAAGTAGGATACAAATAGGATACAGTTTATCTTAAATTTTAATGATGGATTTATCACCCTTCATTTTTCTCTTGATAACATATGAATTGATATTTTTTCATTAACCTTAAAACTTCTAACAAATAGAGTTAAAAATCAAAATAAAAAGTATTTTCATGAACTTTTTTTTTCTATAGGAAATAAGAGCTTTTAGGATAACGATATGGTAATTATTATAACTTGTAGACAAAGTTCATTATAAATATAAAATTTATGCATATAGCATAAAGGTGAATGAACTTTCTTCTCGTTCTATATTTTCAGTTATATTAATTATTACAATTCTCATCATAGTTCGGGAAATTATTTTTTTACTTTTGTAGAAGATAAAGAAGTATCCAGCAACAAACGGAAAATAAAATCTCCTAAGGAAATAATTTTCAAAACACGGAACCAGCATGCAAGGCATAACGACCAACTGTAAAAAATAACAAAAAAACCAAAACAACATAAGCACGAAGCCTAAATATCCTCAATATATTAAAGTTCATGGATTACTTCACTGTGTAGGAAAAATAATTTTTACTTTTTAAGTGAATTATGTGAATTAAGGGAAGGTAAATATTCGGGACCCGAATATTCGTCAAATTTTAAATGGCTAATAAAATTGAAACGAAAAAACTGGACAAAAATGTTGTAGGTACAAAATGATCTGTAACTGCAGCACTTTTATTTTTTTCAGTTTTTTTCGTCCTAATTTTATGAGCCATTTAAACTCGGTAAAAACGAATATTCTGAAGCAATCCATTCTTGAACACTGACAAATATATTCAGGTTCTAAATTAATTTGTATGCGAAGTTTAATTAAATTAATTGTGAATTTATTATTCTAGGAATTAAAATTATTAAACTAAATAGATAAAGATTTGCTTTGAAAGAAATATGTAATCATTCACTGATGTTCACTTTTCCGAACACAAAAATACTGAATTAAAATTGTTAGATTATCTAACTCAGAAATTCCACTTATATTGTCTTTTCATATATCAGAAGGAAATATGATTGAAGTCTAAATATAATCCAAAAGTGGCACTATTTGTCCAACCCTGTTGCAATAACACTCAATAGCTGTTTCCACAAATATAAGTATTATTTCTGAAGAGCAACATTTTTTTAGGATAGATAATAAATTTTACAGGCATTCGTTTATTTACGGTTTTGTCTTATTGAGAATTGCACATTTGAATTTGTTTTAGATATTTATCCCAATGTTCAATCGCAGTAAGAATGAATGTAAATTACGAAATTAAATTCAATATACCCGAAACCATTTTCAACTTTCTATAGTTTATAAAAAAATAGCTAACATATATGTTGATGGATAAAAGCATGGAAATATTAATTGCATAAAAACAAAATTTCAAAGCCGAACAATGAAATGTTCAAAAATATAAAACTTTGAAATGATTTGGTGGAGTCATTTGAATTGTACCAAATAAACTAAATTTAATCTATTTTGATTTTAAATGAAAAATTCAAATTTGGTCTGTTTCAAACATTCAAAAAAAATTGAAACATTTGCAAAATTCTGCTTTGAAAATTATGAATCTGTTCTGCAAAAATGAAACAGCCAAATCAAATCTAAACATGCAAAATGAAAGTACATAATTTCATAAAACATTGAAAAAGAGATTGTCCAAGCAATACTTAAGTAAATAAAACAGATAAATGGAAAATAATGATGCGTACTTCTAATTGTAGTACTGATACAAACATAATATAAATTAATTTACAAGCACCAAAAATTGACGATAATTTTTAATTTTCATTTTCGCAGCAAGCATGAAAAATTAATTTATGGTAATTTTTTTCTATGAAATCTGATAATAGTGCTAATTACTAACTACTAGTTAGTACGTATTCGTTTATTAAACACAGATAATCAAAAAGTTGATCCCGAAAATTCAAAGAGAATTATAAAATTAGAAACCCACAATATAGAGAAAATATCTAACTCAAATTTCGAATCCTTTTGTGATAAAATAATATTTTCTCCTTATCCTGAATAAGTTTTCCTTATAATTTGATCTTAGTGGTAAGAGCCTCAACCCAGCAAACTGAAAAACGCGGGTTCGATTCCAATTTTCTTCTAATAAGGTTTCCATGTATAATTGTAATTTGATTTTTGAAAAACTTACAAGAAATTTGTGTTTTAGATAATCTTTTGGTTTTTTTTTTTGGTTAATCAAATTGACTTTTTTCTTCAATGAAATATTGTTTAAGACGAAAACCCTTATAATGTTTAAAAAAATATGTAAGCATTTTTGAATGGTGACAGTGAATTGATATTCTAAAAATGTAAAGCTTCATAAGTACATTATAATTATGAAAAAATTGCTTATATAAAATTTCTGGAACAATACATTATAAAAAAATTACTATTCAGAGCATATATGCAGTTTAAGTACATATTTCATCTCATTCGATATAAAACTAATTTTTTCCTATATTACTTAAATAAATAATGACATAATTATAAAAAAATAGCTAAAGTAATGTTATTGATAACTATTCGACATTATCTGGTAATATTTCTCTGCATTGATGATATTTTAATATATTTAAGTACGTTGTTTGTTGGATTTCGTTTAATTTTTGTCAAGTTTTTTTGCAATGAAAAAAAAAAGAAATGATAAAATAATCAAAATTGGGTGCACGTTGGGAACGCAGATAATTGAAAAGGAAAAAAAAGATTAATTTGCATATTTGTCGTTATTGAATTTAATGTTAAGTTTAATTGCAAGAAAAATTAAAATTTTCTTGTGCTCTATTAAAATTGGTTAAAAACAAAAAAAAAGATAAGTTAAGGTAGAAGTAAATTAAATATAAAAAGTCTCTTATCGAGCAAATAACCCACCAGTATGATCTGCATAATCGGTCAACAATGGATTTCCAGCTGCAAGTGCCGCATAATTTGTGTAGTCAGTAAAAGGCGCAGCTGCGTATATCAAGCCTGAATGATCAAGTGCTGGTTGGCTTGAAAGAAGGTTAGCCGCTGTAGTAGGTACTGACATGCGTGGTGATAAAATCAGTGGAGCACCTGAAGAGATGCAGTTCATTTTTTCGTATCCTTCACTTAGAGAATAAAGCGATACTCTACCTAGAGGAGTGCCTTGTGTAGCACGCATTTGATTTGGTAGTTGTTGCATTCCAGGAGACAACAATCGTGTCTCAGCAGCAGCTGATGCTGCCAAGCGACGCCATTCTTCTTCACAGGCTTAAAAAGAGTGTCTCAATTTATTTTGTTTTGCATGCTGAATGACTTTATAAGCTTACCGGCAGCTGCAGCCTTTGTACTTGAATCTCTGTAAGTTCCATTAATGATAGCCAGCTCCATCAATTGTCTCTTTTTCAATTCGTCTTCTCCTTCTGCTTGCTGTTGATTTATTAGTCGTATTATGTTAAAAATTTTTTTTATTAATATTGGTGAATATCTTACAGGCACTAAAAGCTTTTGCACTTCTTCAACTGCTCGTTGCAATTTCATTTTTGCTCGGTTCTCTGTGTCTTCGACTGTTATTAACACATGTAAATCATCAGCTAAATGCTCCCAGTTTGGCTTTCCTCGATTGGCATCCTCCTTAAAAAAAATATAATTAAGAGTGCTTTAATAGATTGCATAATTATGAGCAATAAATTATGTTAAAAGAAATCTTCAAATACAAATTTCAGGCAGTCTAAGATCTATTTTTGTTTTAAAATTTGTATCGATTCCATCGCTTCATTACAAGCAGGCAAATCATAATAAATACAAAAATTATCTGAAATCTTCCTTCACAGATTATTTAAAATGTAAATTGTGCTAACGTTTTTAAATTATTTCTAACGCAATTTTTTTTGAATTATTACCTTTTTTTTGTCTCTCATAGAGCCTTTGCCCCTCACCATAATTTTACATCCAGTCTCTTGCTCTAACTGTTTAGCTGTCATTCCACGTGGACCCAATATTCTACCCACGAAATTGAACTGAAAATATACAAAGTTTATGGATTTATTAGTAGAATTTATAAATATAATTACAATGTATAATTACAATGTATAATTACAATGATATTTGTTGCACACATTTATAAAACCAAAAATTACAACTATTTTCATAAAAAAATTGCGTTAGGTGAATGCAATTATTAATTCCGATATTTAATTAGGAATTATCAAAATATCCTTGAAAAGAGCTGGAAGTAAATATGATTTCGAACGAGAATCTCATTATATGAGGTTGAATATTTATTTCATACAACTGACAATACATCTGAAATGACCATATGGTCAGCTCTACTCGACTAATGATCTCATCTTTTCAGTGACGAGGATGATGAAATTGGATGTGGGGAAAACAATTTTTTATGTGTTCATTTCAAAATTATTCGAAAAGTAGAAAAAGGGAGGTTGAAAATCAGTTTAGGATATCAAAACAGATTTTATCATTGACAAATCATTATCAATTGAATATTAATTATTTTTAAGAATTTGAGTAAAAAAGTTCAATACTTTTTTTGAGATTGATACCTTTCGCGTTTGCCCTTCGCATAAATATCTACTAAAAGAATTAAATAAAGAATTTCTACCTATCCAGCATTTTCTTTCTATATAAATTTCTACCTTATTACGTTTGGAAGCATGTGGGCGTCATATTTATTTCTTGCAAATACATTCAATCTCAAAACATTTGGATTTAACTGTAGAATAATTTTTAATACAGAGAAATCATTTCTTAGATGTGTTTACATTAAACAATACCAAATATATAACGAACAGTGAATTCGAATTCAATATTAAATATTCCATCTATTTCAAATAAATTTTCTTAGTTAACCTAATTACTTGAAGAGAAAATGTACATATTGAATTTTCTTATATTAGAACTGAGGCTATAAGAATTAAAATAGATGACAAATTGCACAGATATTGCAATAGATTGGAATACATAGATTACGTACTGCCCATCTGTACACTACAAAAATTCAAGCAGAAATTGTAACTCACGCTGAGGGGAAAGATTTTTTTTACAAGTTTGGCGCTTTTGAATGAGAGCCCTCGAGAGCCAAGGAATTATTTTTTAATAAAGAAAAAAATTGAAAACTTAATCAGAACCCTACAACAAAATATGACAACAATCCTGAAGAAATTTCTTCGTGTTATAAAAAAATAAAATAAAGTTAGATTATAACATAAATCAAAAAGTGAACAATTATCTCTATTAAAACGTCAGAGTTATATACGTACAATGTAAATATACACATATAAATATAAATGAATCTCGTCTTCTTCCACCAAGTTATTTTTAAAATTAAAATAAAAATGTTTCAAGATAAAAACGTTTTTAGTTTTCATTAGGCAGAATAAAACATTTCAAAACTAATTCGAAAAGATGTTTTCAGCCAGATAAATACAAAATTCGACGCAGGAAAAATATAACAAAATTACCGGCTACTCTGACATGCAAGCTGATGGAGGATTCAGAGTACACTAATCCTAATCAAGAATTATTAATTTCAAAGATGAAAGGCATTCACAAGGTATTTGTTAACTATATTTTTCAGTAATCTAAATCGCAAGTGGATAAGAATCAATAATATTTTAAATAATACTTCATCCAAAATATTTTTTTCAATATTTATAAGTTATAGGTCGTCATGCTCATTATTTTATGATTAATTTTGTCACTTTCCAAAGCAGAAAAAAACAATTTTACAATTAAAAAAATAAATAATGTAAGTTAATTCCATAGAATTGCTGAGTATTAATTACCGTCAATAATCCTCAAATTGGAAATAAAGTTCACTAAGGTTAAACGTTATTAAAACAAAAGAAAAAAAATTAACTGAAATTAACTTATGCCTAGTTTATGAAGCATAAATTTTTATGTGACGATCCAAAAAAGAATATTTCAAAGATTTTATAATCTATGGAAATGAAAATTGTCTATAAATTTTCATGTCAGTGATACATTTTATGTTCTATAAATAATATTTTCACCTAACGAAGAATCTTTTAAAAGGATATGGAGTTAGTAATGAGTTGGCACAGTTTATACATCTATATTTGTTTCAATTTGCCGTGAATTGCAAAAAATATATTTGATACAAAATTTTAAATTAGGAACTTTATGTTTTACAAACATCAATCCATAAAATTTTACTCATGATTCATATAAAAATATATTTTTCACAGGAAATTTTTAATTTTACTTGGCGTGAGAAAAAAATACTTGGCAAGCACAAAATGAAAAGTCTTTGTATATCATCTTTCAATGGAAATTAAACACATTAGTGCAAAAAAAAGCAACATCAAAGGGAATCATGAAAGTACGTGAATATGTAAGTGTTATATATTCAACATTAACTTTACTCTTCCTACTTACAGGTGCAATAAATATTATAAATAGATAACCTATGATGTGTTCATATCGTATGTGACTTAACTGAATTAGACAAGATACGAAGATCTTGTTCATGATAATAAATATTTGAATTTTGAATGCTTAAAAGCTTTGCAAAAAAGTTTTACAACCCTGTATAGATATTTATTTTATTTCAGAAAAATAGTTCAAAATACTTACATCTGGATGTTCTTTAACTGGTACGTAAACTTTTTCGTTTAATGTTACAGTTTCTCCGTCTGGTTCTGGTAATTGTAAAGGCTCTTTACGGACACCGTTTATTTGAAATAATGATGCTCGAACTCTTGCAATTTCTGAAAGAAAAAGAGACATTTATGAAATTTGAAATTCGAATTAAAAGACAACTACATAGCTGAATGGAAAATATAAGAACTATTTAAATAATATTAATTAAACTTAAAATTTCTTAATTCTGTGCTTGAATGTTTAAAAACTTAAAGGGTGAGAAATCATCATTCACATAAACATAGTCTAAACATAATGTTAAACTATTTTTGGACAAAATTAATAAAAGGAATCATAAATTGTTATTCTTATTCTTATTCTTATTTCTTTATTTCATGATAATTATTCTCAATTCGTTTTCTTAAGTCAGATTTGCATTTGCCTAAATATGATTTTTACTCATCCCTTCAAAAATAGTATAATAAAATTTCATTAGGTAATTACTTGGAAAAAATGTTTCAAATTGACTTAATAAAAAAAAAGTAACTACAAAAGTAAGTTGAATTCAAGAGTTATTGACAATTAATATTCGTTAGTTATTTTCGTTGTTGCTTTAACAACACATAATCACTAATGATATTTCTTAATCTTTTTTTCTGTTTATTTTAGATTAACATCCATAACATTATGAAATATTTTGTATGATGGTAGAGGCCACAGCAGATGTCAAAACTTTTATCTCTACGCAGGTTGATTCAGAATTTGAGGACAAAATGAATTTAGGTTTAAGACATTAATGAACACACGTAGATTGTATAAAGGAAAAATTTGCAATAAAAAATTTTGGAGTGTTCAGTACACAAAAGCAGACATATGCTTATTGGGGTTTGTATTTAATATTTGTTGATTTATCAGTAGCATCTTATAATATTTTATTTGAATGTGAAAATTGAAACTCAATATTTATGTGACTCATTAGATAAATAAAACGTCTTCTCAGAAACTATTCCTGTCAAGTAAATTTGATGAAAATAGTCATTCAATACTAAACAGTTCATTTACTTGCTGAGCGTTGTTGAAATAACTTTGAAAGAAACAGAAAAAAAATTCAAATTGCTGTGGTTTGAATTTCTTTCGTTTCCTCATTCCACTACAATGGTGATGACTATCACCATTTCATGCTATTTTCAAAATGTATAACCGAAAAATTATTTGGAGATGATACACTGACTGATCAATTCCTTCAAATATCAGCATCATTTTGAAATTGTCATATTCAAAGCTTTTCATCTAACTAAAACATGAATTTGAACTATTCATTGCACTCATTCTAGGAAACGTCACTTTCAGCTTATTGTTGACTTAACAATCTCGACAAAATCATTTAGAAGTTTAGAATATCTTTAAATTGTAAAATCATTGTCAAATCTGAGAGGATTTACTTTATGATGTCTAAAAAGTGTATAAGTATAAATCGTAGGCGTCGTATAGAATATTAAATTTGAGACTATCCATATTAGTGAATAACACCTACTTTGAATTATAGACAAAAAAACTTGTTTATCTGTATGACATAACTATCATGACGAAAATTAGATTTGTGTTATTCATTAAGCAAAAAATTATATAAAAAAAAATTATTAGTGTTTTAATTTTTAAATTAGAGAGAAAAAAGTGGATATTCTGGAATCAATATTCGAATTCAATTTTTTGAGAAGATTCATACAAAGTGTAACCATTTGGAATTCAAAAATATTTCTAAAAATGGTATTCAAAAGTGCTTTCAAAGACTGAATTTAGTAAATAAATAGTCAGTAGCCATCTGTAGCATTGACAACGAAATTAACTAAATCTTGTTTTTAGAAAAAAGAAACTTATTTTGAATTTGTTTGTAGGTTTTGCAATTGCGGAGGTTTGAGAAGAAACTTAAACAAAAGCATTCACATTCAAGGTGTGATATTTTTGTGAACTCTATTGTGAGTAAATGACGCAACTTTATGTACATTTACTTGGTACTTGGTCTGCATTTCATTTTTTTCCATTTCGCTTTTAAATGGGATGAAAAACTAATTTTGGTTATGAAAAAAAAGTTGTGTTCTTATTTTTATTTCAAAATGTTAGAAACTAGGATAATTCATCATTTTAGACTAAACATTGTGGAATATGATGAAAACTTTTAATTTTAAGCAGATTTGCTCCGCTGTGACAAATAAAAGCCACGTGAGTAGAATTTTTATTCAATCTAAAAAGCATTAAATGACGAAAGATTTGTCTGAAGTTTTTCCTTAATATCTTAATAATTTCCAATACTCAACATGCAATATGTTTTACACAACTAGTACGAGCTTTTTATTCAGTCCTCATTCCAGGGGTCGGAAGCAGAAGCTTATAGAAGCTCGTCATTTTGAGAAACAGAAGCTATTAATATCAACTTCGAAAAGCCGATGCGGAAACAAAAGCTTTGAACCGAATATCACTACGCTTCCAAGCCCTGCTGGTTAAAATATTTAATGTGTGAATGTTGTTGTTGACAGTAAATAAAGCAGTTTTACTTAAGCTTCGTTAATTTTTAAGTGTTCAATTTTGTTTTTTAAAATCTTTGTAGTAACCCTGAAGATAAACTTAAAAAAAGACTAAAACTAGTCGGTAAATGGGAAGCTAAACAAAAACTTCTTTTTTTATTAATTAGTCTGAAAAGGTATCAAAAACAACATTTAAAGTGTGTCGGAAACTAAGTTTATATACATAATCGTGTCACCAGAGATGGACGTGGAGAAAAATTTTATGATGGATCGTGGATCGGATCACCGACCCAAATTAGGCCTACGATCTCTATATTTTAATACAAATATTTTGAGTATGTTTTTTCTTTAATTTTCTATTTTATGTGTATATCAACTATTTTTAGACAAATGAATCCATCAACGAGCACGCCTGAAACGGAATTATTTTTAGAAAATTTACAAGCATAACTTTTTACTTTCTTTGTTTAACATATTTTTTTGTTTTTTTCAAAATTATATTTAAAATATTATGCAAAGCAGTGATCTAACTAACTTTTACTATCTTGACAGTTAATGGAAGCATTCGCAGATAATTCTTTGCTTAAGAAATACCATTAATCTAAGATAAGAAATCTCGTTTAATGTCAAAAACAAAGAAAAATCTATGAATTCCAAACAATTTCATATCTTGAAATAAAATTTTCTAACAGCTATATGGGAACTTCTACCTTTGGCAAATACTTCAAATTCTTGACTGCATCAATTTTTATTGCGCTTGAAAACATCGCCAAAAACATTAAACTTTTGATAAAAATAATGAGCAACTATCAATCAATTATATCTAATTTGTGAAGACAAAAAGGAAAAATAAACGAGCTTAAACATATTATGCAATAAATAACTTCATTTAGACAATACAGGAATACGATTTTTATGTGTCAGAGGAAGGTTCTGCTAAATAATAAAAAGAAAACTTGAACTTGCCAATCTTATAAATTAACATTTTTCCTTTATTCTTTTGTGATGAATATTGGAAATGGATGAAAAGGAAAAATTAAAAATTCTTAATGGACTGATCGAATATATAATTGTAATATTCAAGCTATACAACACAATAATGAGAACATTAGTAAAAGGAATTTCGTAATATAAAATGAATTTAATATATCTAGTTCAAAAGTTTATTTATCAAGATAAATGAGAAAAAAGTTAAAGTAATTAACAAAAAAAAATACAAAAACATGCGCAAGCACAAAAATACAACAAAAAAAAATGAAAGAGTAGGAAATCGTCTCTCTCATAAAGTTAAGTTGGTATTCGTTTTATCATCTGAGATTTTGATTGCAGTTTTCCAGTGAACACTTGAAATATTTGACACTTCTTATCTATACTAGAATGTTTTTTGTGGAAATATTTCAGAGATAATGTCAAATATTAGTGAATGCCCTTATGATGCACTTTAATTTGTAATAAACTTCTTCGGGTGTTATTAATATGACATCTTACTTTTCCATCTCGCTTCACTCACACTACTAACTTCTTTTAATAATAATACTACGAACCAGCGAAAAAATGTAAATGATTTTCCAGTTTCGCTTCATTCAAAGGTTTGCTCAGGCACATGAAATGCGTAGGTTTCTCTGTGCAATATATTCATTAAGTCTCAGTACGTGCTCTAATCAACAATTTAAAAAGCTTTGCACGAAATTGTCTGTAAGAACTTGTTTTTTGCCAGAATTAAGCAAATATCATTTCATTTCTTTATTTAGTAGTGAATTTAAAAGGTAAGTAAAATAAATGAATAAAAAACAAAGAAGAAAATGTATGTCAAATTTGGTTTTTCCACTCAGTTTAGAGATTTTATGTTTATTTGCCATCTCCCTCTGAAAACAAGGCGAAATTTTTCCGCAACAACACACAAGAACAAAGGGATTGGATTGTTCACAACTCACAAATAATCATTGCTTCATGATGTAAAACTGTACTCAAAACAAGGGCCATCCCATATTTCAAACATTCATTTGTTTATTCCGTCTCTCGTCTTTTTTTTTTTGTCAACGTTTATTTATGACATCACGGTTGACCAAAGAGCTTATTGATTTCCATAATTGTATCATTTGCTCTAAACTTGTTAGATTCCAATTTGGAATAAAGATTTATCTCATGGCTATTATATATATTTCATAGCTCTCAATAGTTTAGGTTACATAAATTTTTACTGTCAAACCACTCATATCATACAATGATGAAATTTTCTACCTAGGTAGATTTTAAATTCATTTTTATAATTATTCTTTTTGTATATAGGTACCTAACAGATTTATTTTTTGTCTTCTAATAATAATATCAAGTGTACAGAAGAAAAAGAAATACAACTCAAAGTGAAAATTTAGATTAAGTGGGAATAAATTAGTTTAAATCTGTGGAGCGTACACATTATGCTTTTGAATCCAAAGTTTTCAAGTTGCTTTACTAATTATAAAAAGCAAGCAGTATTCGTATTCTCATTCCGTCATCTTGAGACATGGAATTGTATAAATAAATATTTTCTTTACTCGTTTTTAAACATGCTGTTCTTGTAAACCATTTCGGATTTTACTATTTATAAGCAATTCCATAAAATTCTCACAAAACCACATCAAATATGGATCAAACGATATTTTTAATTCTCAGCTTCGGAATATAATGCAAAACAGTATAAGTACGATATTGAAGGGACCGAAAAAAATTCGCTCTTTGGAGGAAATGGTTGTATCAAGTGAAAAAGGGTACTTAACATCATTGCAAATTCATCATTTCAATACGCGTTTCATTTGAATTTGTTGCATTAGTAATTACATATTTTCAACTTTTGTTATAGACTGAGAGCACTACACTTTTTATTTTGTGATTGAGCCATTTTGAACTTTAACTTTTTAAGTTGTAATAAGTGATTTTCTTACAACATTTCTAAGTACTATCAAGAAAATCGTTGTAATAAGAAGATATTTTTCCATATTTTGAGTGTGTGAAATAAAGTATCATAGTATCGGAAAGTCGTCGTAACAAGCGCACATCTTATCGAGATTATACTGTAATACAAATGTTTATTTTTGAATTTGATCAAAAATAAATGCTTTTTTTTTATCAAAGTTTAAGAGTTACCTACATATAATAGTTCAACTGTGTATCTCTTATTGAAAAAATATTTTCAGATTTACATCGTCTGTCTAAAAACTAGTTCAGGGAGTTTTTAATACTCTCATAGTGATCTCGTTATGAACATCCGAAGTGTAAATCAATTTTGGATTAAAATTTTTGAGCTCGTTTGACTGGATTAGTGAGTTTGGTTTGCAAATGCTAACTTTACTTTTAGAGTTCAATATTGAATGTGTTTTCATAAAGATTTCTAGAATATACAACTGAACATTAATTTTTAACTAATGCTTCTGATTTAAAGACAAAAAATGCTTAACTTGGAAGTTACGTCAAATAAAACTTAAAGATGAATTAGTAAAAATATTTGCTCATCAATGAGATACGATTTTTAATCAGAGCTTGATGAAGTAAGATATGACAGTAATTACAATATGCAAATTTAAGTTCATTAAAGAACTGCTTCTTGCAATAAAAACTGCCCTCACCAAAATTATGAAAGCAGATGGCAATTAATTTTAAGGTCTTAAAATTTTTACATATATGTATGTATGTAAATGTGAACAAGTTGATTTTATATTTTTTATTTCTGTGTTGAGAGATTTGTCTCATTTACTTTAATAATTGTGCAGAAGGAATTTTATGTGTAAAGTCATTCCCTGGAATACTCAATTTACGTATCTAAAAAATTTCTCTGTGCGCCGCTTCTCAAAAAAAAATAGAGTGTGGAGTCGTTGTTATGTCTCTCTTGCGTACATTGCATGATTGAATTTGTTCGTGAAAGCAATCTTATCCGCCCACGATGTTTATCCATTTCAGTAAACATACATTTCAATGTTTTCCCTCAATGACACTGAATTTTTCTATTGGTCGTAGCAATAAACCAGTAGATCGCGATAAATTTGAAAAAAAACTTTTACTTTTCTTCCTTCCAGTTTAAGTTTTTACATTAATGAAATTTGATATTAATAGTGAACTGATGAACAACAATTTATAAGGAAAGTTATAATTATTTTAATCGATCTAATGAAGCAAATAACAGATGAATCAATTTAAACCAACAGCTATTATCGTTGAATCCCACAATATGTATGTATAGCTCATTCCTTCAAGTTTTGTCCAATTTCAATTCATAAAGAGTCAACGATTACTCGGAAATTTATTATATTTTCTCACTGTATTTGGTCGCGAATGGGTTTACAAGCTAAGAGTGGGTGATGCGCTGTTTCATTGTTAAACAGCAACAAATTAAAAGGAACCATCGCTTTTAACGCCTTCGCACGTTTCAAACATGATATTGAAAACTTTATATATCGAATACGATATTATTATATGAAGCTTAAAAAATTGAGTAAGATTGACACGAGCCTTTATAAAAAAGATTCATTGAGCATTTTTTTAATTTATTTATCTTCTACAAAGTGTAAATAATTAATCAAAATTCCATTATTGTACGTAGTTGTGCATAAAAAATTTTTAGAAATAACAAAAATTTATCAAGTTTGCATTGTATTTCCGAACCATATGTTTTTCATTTTATTCGTATGCGTATATGAAATGTTTTATATTCAGTAAGTGCTTCTATTTCAAGATTCTGGTAAAATAAACTTGATTTTAACTGTCACTAAAATCTCAAAATAATAGATGAACAATTTAATCAAGAAGCCAATAGAGTGTAAAACATCATCATAGTTCGCTTGGTTTGCCTTTTTGTATATCACATGAACATAGTCATTTATTCTCTACAAAACTTCCGGTTGTAAAAGAAATAAATGTATGAAATGTTCTAATGAAATAAAATGTATGAAAATGTTTGTACAGCGACATTTAATATCCTTTTCCACGAGTTGGTCCTAATAAGTATTATACATTTATAAAAATTAAGTTTTCATCTCGCGATCATTATTTTTGTGAAAGAATTGACACTTACAACAAATATGAAATAACTTCACTTTATTGTTGATGACTTTAAAACAATCCCAAGTAGAACACACGCGCTATATTGACGACTTAAGTCTGTCTTTCGGCAATTGTCATTATTTTTTCAGACTTATGGCAGACTTATGTCCGTTTTGAATGCGCCATCGTCTTATTGTGCTAGATATTCAGGAATAAGTTTTAAGATGGAAATCGTGAAAATGAGTCTTTCAGCATCAACCACAAGCTTATACATTTCTGATGAGCCCTTTTATAAATGTGTAATTGATAATTTCGAAATTTTCCTCAGAAGTTTTATTCATTTTTCCAAAGTAAAAGAGCATCAGCAAATATTTAATGTCTGAAGCTTCGCGAGTTTTTGATAACATATTAATAATAAAAGTATAAATAAAAGAAGTTGATATATCAGCTGCAATGTATACTCTTAGAAATATGCTTGATCATAAATTTGTTAACATTCATATTTTCCTTTCGTCTTGAATTTTCCATTTTGCGGTGCGATGAAAAACTATCTTCTCTCTCAAAATAATTTCTAAAATAAACATTTTGTTTCTAAAGTATCACAAGCAAAAGATTCAAATTAAATACTTTTTCTTCGTTCCTTCGAGTGAAAAATTGTTGGAAGTTCATTTATAGACAGTAGGGAACAGAAAAGAGAACAGATAATTTCCGCCATAATTTTTCATACGCTTCTTTCATACAACATGATTTTCAGTTCAGGAATTTTCCATTTCAACATATATTATTTATTCAAAAAACTGTAACGAGTTCAATTGTTGCAATTAGGAGTTCAGTCTTAGGGTCAGTTCTGCGTTTCTCCCAAAGATGCTCAAATTCTATTTCATGAAAATCATGCAAAATTAAACTTATAGTAATTATTTTCCAAAATAATTCAGTCGACTCAAATGAATCATGCATATATATTTGACAGCCTCTAAATTTTCCTTGAAATTAATTTTTCAGAATGTTTGAAGATTAAAGTAGCAAATTTCATGATCTTTGGCTATGCTTTTTTCGTAGTTATAAATGGTTTACGATAAACATTGATACAGGTTTGGTATAATATGTTATATATTTTATTTTCTATTTCTTTTCATTTTCTTAACAGATACATGAAATTATCTGAAGCATTGTTTAATCAAAATTAGTTATGTAAAACTAAAAGTGAAAAAATCATTACTCTATTCAAACTTCAGCACTGAGGTTTTAAGTATCATCTTTTGTAACGTTTCTACACGAGAAACAATGAATTGCCAATGTTACCATACTATGTTTTCGAAGTGTCAATTTAAGAAGAAAAAAATTGAA